ATAATAATAATAATACTAATAATAATAATATTAATAATAATAATAATAATAATAATAATAATAATAATAATAATAATAATAATAATAATAATAATAATAATAATAATAATAATAATAATAATAATAATAATAATAATAATAATAATAATAATAATAATAATAATAATAATAATAATAATAATAATAATAATAATAATAATAATAATAATAATAATAATAATAATAATAATAATAATAATAATAATAATAATAATAATAATAACCGGAAATCAGGTTATGGTTACACATATTTTATTAAACATAGATTTAGCTTAAAAAACGGAAATCAGGTTATGGTTACACCATATTTTATTAAACATAAATTAAGCTTAAAAAACGGAAATCAGGTCCTGAACACCTAAGTATCCCTCGTCCTACGCCTGCGGTGAGAATGTCGCCCCTGAGAGGATCCTGCATCCCGATCGTCAGCATCAGCACGGTCCAACTGTAGATACTCAGCGAATGGGGCGCACATGTCCTGGATCGTCCTGAAGAAGTCATCGGGCATATGCCGATATCCTGGAATAGTAGACGGAGGCAAGTTATCGTAGAAGTACGGATGCAACACTCGGGTGAGATCATATATAGCCGGAACTGCAGATGGTTCCGCTCTTTCAACCGGCTCGGTACTAGGATGTACACGGACGTGGGTGTGGTCTAGAAACCACGGCATATACTCCGGATCCGACTCCCAAGCTGGACGCGCCGGATGACCATAGTAAGCTCGACTAAGCATGTGCGTGTGGGGGATATCCCACATCTGATCGCCAGGCTCATAGTTAACCTTGTAAGATGCTATTTTTCTCTCCCTCTTAGACCCTTTTAGCGGACGAATTGGGTCCGCCGGTTTAATCTGCCGAAACCCGAACTGACGCAAAACTCTATCGGGCATATAAGGCTCGACCGTATCCATCCATCGAATAGTCCCGTGATGAACCGTCTTTGCAACTTCAGATGACACTTTCAATCCAAATGGCGTCCAATTCACCTATATTCATTTAATTATACACATATATTAATAAGCATAATTAATATAAAATGATACTTACACACATAGATACTTACATCTGACGGACGCATCGAATCGAGACGTCTACGATAATCTACAAGTATATCCTCGTCCTTAGGAATATGATGTATCACCTGCCACCGTTTACACCATGGCTCTCCCGTAACATGTGCGTTAACCATCGGAGGCCGGAAACACGGAAAATACTCATATATCCAACACTACAGTACGGGAAATAATAATACGGCATAATTAACAACAACAACAACAACAACAACAACAACAACAATAATAATAATAGTAATAATAATAATAATACCTCTAATAATGTCAGACATCCAGCAATCTGCGCCGCCTCAGCTCGCGTAGCCATGCCCAACTGTCGGTACAGATAGGCCAATGTAGCCGAACCCCAAGAATACTCGCAAATGAGATTGATTTCCTCTAACAGTGGGAAAAAATCTGCTCTAACCTTCGATCCACTCTTATCCACGAACAACAACTTTCCAAGCAAGTATGCAATATATGCTCGTACCCGATACGCGGAAGGAAATGTAGAATTGTCGCCATACTTCACCTCCAAATCATCTAACCGGGGTCCGCCACCATACCACCACTGCTCCATAAGTGCGGGTGCGACCCCGAAAGCTCTCGCACCAAGCTGGATCGCGTCGGCCTTATCCATCCAAACGTTAGGGCGAGTTCCACTAACTCGCAAACCCATGATGTAATGCACGTCGTGCAGGGTAATTGTCATCTCACCGAATGGCATGTGAAAACTGTATGTTGGTGTCCGGCTGCCACCTCTCAATAAAAGCCTCTATGAGTGGGTTATTGTGCTGAGGCAGCGAACAATCACGCAAGTGATATAAGCCGGTATTCTCCAGTAGTGAGACACAATCATCGTCGTCGGGGCCCGGCCAAGTACACTTCGCGTGCGACCGTAATTTAACCATATGTCGACCCTGTTCAAGATATATTCATATATAAGTATACCACAAGCAAGTGTAAATATTATAAACAAAATTTATTAATATTAATAAGTATTACCTTTCCCTCCCAAATGTCGTAGGCAATGTGTGCTCCAAAACTTGGAATCAAGTGAGCGTATTTAGGTCCACCGGGTGTCTCACCGGTCAACATCCAAGGTCGAGAAGGAAGTTTTTTTCTCGGAGCGGTGCGGGACCTCGAGACAGGATTAGAACCATCGAAAGTACCACCCATCGGGACAGGAGGCGGAGTCGGAGTCCGAACATCCTCGTAATCGTCATCGGATGGAAAATCCGGCACCGGAAACTGATACTTCTGCTGAAAGCGTAGTTGTGGATCGTACTCGTACTCCTGCGGCTGCATATATGCATCCATGGGTGCATCCATCTCCTGCTCGGCCTCTGTCTCTGTCTCCTCCTGAATCATCGTACGTGGGGGTACAAAAGCACCAGTGCGTTCCCCACGACGTTTAGAACCGGTAACATTTCTATTATGTGTCCTTCCCTCCCGTTCCGCAGTATTCTCCTCCACCGGATCTGCAGGAGGACGAATCAGGAGTCCTTTCCCTTTTCCCAGTCCGAATTTTTTCGCCCAATTAGACATCCTGTAAACATAAAATTATTATAATTTTCTTTGAATTAACTAAATTATATTAAACTAACTTATTTTAATTCAGAATAAAAAATATTTATTTTAAATCAGAAATAAAAAAATAAAAAAAAAAAAAAAAATTAAACCGAACGCCCGGTTTGGGCTT